AGGTTGTTGAACGTCTGACTTCTCCAACCTTTCAGGGGCCTGGTTGGACAGTCAGGATTGATCTGACACTGTAAACTTTGACAATGCCTAGCTCTCTTGAAGATGCAGCAATGGCAACTGCGCAAAACACATTGTCAGCCAGGGTTCTTGTTCAACAACAGCAGCTTGATGGTGGGTTTGTCACTGCCTTGCTGGTCATTCAGTGACTGAAATGCAGCTGCACAGCTATACTATTCATAACTGTTCTTGACCTTGCCAGTTTGGCTGCAGATCTCTCAGCAATCACCCATGGTGCCCTTCTGCAAGGCTGCTTGCTGCACCCGTCTCGTGGCAACTTGATAGTGACACAAGCCTCTGAGAGCCCACTACAGCCACACTGGCAAACAAGAGGAGTGTGAGCGCTGCTGGCTAGGTGTGGAAGTCAGGATATGTGCGTGGGGCCTACAGCAAAGATCTGACCTATGGACCTGGCTTCAAGCAGCTACCCACCGCTGGTGACGTGCAAATTTGTTGCACAATTCTGACATCAGGTTGCAAGTACCACAAGCCTTTGGCAGCACATTTGATCCCAGCAGGAAATCAAATGAGGGCTCTGAGCAGTGCTGGCTGAACATGGAGGTCAGAGCTTCCCCAACAAAGCTGCACAGCCAGAGTCCAGCCTGTCACCCTGAAGTTTCAGGACTCGGGGCTTCAGAAGTATTTACCTGAGCAGCATTCTCCTGGTGCAATTTGAGCACAATGAGGCAATGCAAGTCTTCAACAGTTGTTTTACACAGAGCCAATCAGGCTTCAAAGGGCAGCACTGAAGGACTATGCATCACGCTGGCATGGTCACATTGCAAGCTTGATGCTGGACCTTAGCGCAATGGCATACAGGCTTCACAGTATGGTGGCCACAAATGATGAGACCAAGGATGGTTTTGGGACAGACAACTGGTTGGCACTTGTTGTCAACCATGACATCAGCAAGCACCTGCTCAATGTTTGCATGAGAGCAGAGAGCGCAAGGCATGTGGAGCATCTCTGGCAAGTCTTACAGCCATTGGCCAGCGGCGCTGGTGGGCTGAGTATCCTGTCCATGAAGCCGCTTTTTGGCACAATGGATCTCCTTGCCACGCATTGGTGACTTTGAAGGGCCAGT